TGCAGAGTTTGGTCCAGATCCATTATTGTTTGAGTCCACAGTGATCTCTGGATGTAGGTGAACTACAACTTCAAAACCAGAGGACACTGCCCACTAAACCCTTCCAGTATTTTCTGTTAGGCATGGGAGAACTGTGTGCCAAGTTTAGTTCAATTCCATCATTGGTGGCGTTCAGAATGCTCTTTGATTGTAGGTGAACTATAAATCCCAGCAACTACAACTCCCAAATGACAAACTCAATTTTTTTTGGAGTGAAGGACGTACATTGAGTTGTTAGGTGTCTTGTGTCCAAATTTGGTGTCAATTCGTCCAACCGTTTTTGAGTTATGTTAATCCCACAAACGAACATTCCATTTTTATTTATATAGATTATTATATTCTATACTTTCTTCTTGGTTCTTATATGAGATTACATGTATTTTTTTCATAATTTAACTGACCTAGCTCACTTTCTTTTTCAGATAATTAAAATGGACAGCAAGAATCCAGTCCAGATTTCTGTCATAGGTAATGCACATCTTTGCACCAAACCAAGTATTTCCTTTAAGAATGGACGTGAAAAAAGATTAACATCTGTGCTGAGTGCACTTGCATGTCAGTGGGTGGACTGCAAACACAGTTAAATGATTGAGGAGTGAGAAGGGGAAAAAAACCCATGTTTACTTGTTAAAATGGAAACAGTTTGTAATGATTGGGGGCATGAAATATGCAAATGGAACTGTATCAGAACTCAAGAGTCGTTTCTGTAGCTGTTCTCGTGAAACAAAGGAACCTTGTCTTCTGAGCTGAATACACATATTTGCAATTCCTAGCAACAACAAAAAACGGAGGTGTCTTTGGCAGGCCAGCAACAAGAAAACAATCCGTCTTCATTGTCAGATAGTTTTAACACAAATGCGGATATTTTAATAGTGTTACTGAATGTTATAAGGCCAGAGTCTCCTGTCTGGCAAAAGGAAAGGGAGATCTGGCACTAATTTCGAGCCGTAAAATCGGCCGTGGACATGCTGTTTTATTACATTTTAACAAAGGAATTTGGACAGTTGGGATGAATAGATGATCCCTCCCCTCCTTCAACTTTGTCTCCAGTCCAAAGGCAGCTGCAAGTATTGTACTAATGGTTAGCTGGGCAATAAGAAAACACACACTACAGCAAGCATGGGCTAACTTCATGCACCACACTCCGAGGCAGTCTCTGCCACTCTCCAACAGCTCTTATTTTCAGGAAGTTGAATCAGTTGAATCTCTTTCCTTGCCATTTGAAATCACTGCTTCCTGATGCCCTGGTTTCTAGAGCAGCAGAAAGTCAGTCCCCACTCCGCCTCCTCAATGTGACACCCTTTTACATCTTGAAACATGGTTCTCATCTTCCCTCTCTACCTTCTCTTCTCCCAGGTAAACATCTCCCAGGAGGGAAAAGAGGAAGGAAAAAGAAAAGGAAGGAAGGGTGGAAGGGAAGGAAGGGAAGGAAGAAGAAAGAGAAAAGGAGAGGGAAGGGGGAAGGAAAGAGGGAAGGGAGTGGAAGGGAAGAAGGAGGGAGGGGAGGAGAAGAAGGAAAGACGGAAGGAAGGAAGGAAGGAAGGAAGGAAGGAAAAGGAGAGAGGGGGGAAGGGGAAAGAGGGAAGGAAGAAGAAAAGGAAGGGAGAGGGGAAGAGGAGGAGAAAGAGGAGTAAGAGAAGAGGAGGAGGAAAGGGAAGAGGAGGAGAAGAAGAAGAAGGTGGAAGAGGAGGAGGAGGTTGGAGAAGAGAAAGACAAAAGAGGAAGAAGGATGGAAGGAAGGGAGGAAGGAAGGAAACATACACTACAGCAGGCATGGGCAAACTTCGTCCCTCCAAGTGTTTTGGACTTCAACTGTCACAATTCCTAACATTGTTGGCTCATGTCAAGCTAAACATGAGCCAACAATGCCATGCGGGAGCTAAAAAAACAATGGGATTTTGGCCTGCATCAATAGGAGTCTAGTGTCCAGATCCAGGGAAGTCCTGCTCCCCATGCTCTATTCTGCCTTGGTCAGGCCACACCTGGAATCACACTGTGTCCAGATCTGGGCACCACAATTGAAGGGAGATGTTGACAAGCTGGAATGTGTCCAGAGGAGGGCAACTAACATGATAAAGGGTCTGGAGAACAAGCCCTATGAAGAGCAGCTTAAAGAGCCAGGCATGTTTAGCCTGAAGAAGAGAAGGCTGAGAGGAGACATGATGAGGGCCATGGAGAAATACGTAAGGAGAAGTCATAGGGAGGGGAGGGAGTAAGCTTGTTTTCTGCTGCCCTGGAGACTACAGGAAAGAAGATTCTACCTGAACATGAGGAAAAACTTCCTAATTGCGAGAGCTGTTTAGCAGTGGAACTCGCTGCCCCAGAGTGTGATCAGTTGTGGTCAGTTGCAACATTCATGCTTGCCTCAAGCAGGCAAGAGTTCTTTTACCCACCCTAGACATTATTCCACAGATATATAAACCTCACTTGCCTAGTTTCCAACTGACCTCACAACCTCTGAGTATGCCTGCCATAGATGTGAGTGAAACATCAGGAGAAAATGCTTCTGGAACATGGCCACACAACCCAGAAAACTCACAACAACTAAGTGTCTGAGATAATTCCATCTGAACATTAGGAAGAACTTCCTGACTGTGAGAGCTGTTCAGCAGTGGAACTCTCTGCCGTGAAGTGTGGGGGAGGCTTCTTCTTCGGATGCTTTTAAACAGAGGCTGGATGGCCATCTGTCAGGGGAGCTTTGAATGAGATTTTCCTGCTTCTTGGCAGGGGGTTGGACTGGATAGCCCACGAGGTCTCTTCCAACTCTGTGCTTAGATGATTCTATATATTTTTCTTACTTCAAGTTTTTTTTAAACCTGATTTTCAAAAATTAAATTAACAATAATTTTGTATTTATATTTTAGAAAGTGACCATGACTTGGAACATCTTGGCTCAACTGACATTTTGACCTGCAGTGCTTATGTATAAAAAAAAATTATGTGTGCTGCAGTTTTTGTCTTGTATCTCAGCATAATTCAATTAACTCCAATGTAAATCCAATATAGCCTTGTTGATATGGTCCTTGGTGGTCTTGTCATAGCACGAGGAGTGTCTTGTTAGTTATTCCAGTTTCCCTTATAACCTGGGGATGTGCCAACAGCTTAGGTGGAATAAAACTCATCGGAAAAGCTTCACTGGGAGAAAAGTGCCATTCTCATGTTACATCCTGCCAGACGCAGGAGATATTTCTACATCTATAGAAACACTAGCGGTCCCCTGCCACGCGTTGCTGTGGCCCAGTCTGGTGTTCTGGAAAATAAAGTAATGAGAAAGTGTTGGTTTCTAATATATG